AAAAAAAAACTAGAATATGATGCTTGCATCATATTCTAGTTTTTTTTTCATATTCTATGATTTTTTTTACAGCCCCCTGTTCTCAATAAAAGCAGAGGTGGGTGCAAATGAACAATTTTCATCTTCTAGACCAAGGTTTTTACAGAGAACATCTTGAAAAATATGAAGAACAAAATACAGATTTCCATTTATTAATGACACTTCTGCATTCATCTTATTTGGAAGAACTAGAACCACAAAGAGCCACGGTCTTTCGATGTACTCACCATTTAACATCTTGCGTTTAAAGTGAGATTTGGAGAAGTGACACTTTTGATGCTTGTACACCTGTTCCGATGCTTGAAAGCTAACATTCATATTTTGACAACTCTCCGGTCCTCGCTCAGCCCAGTAAGACCGCATGGACTCGTCAATTTCCCCCCAATGCGCAGGATCGGTACTGTACGGATCCACAGTCGTCTTTCTATCTGCCGAAGAAGATCCCGCTTCCACCGACTCTGACTCCACAGACGCCAGTCCAGCCACCGACTCAGTCACAGTTAAAGGTTCTGGCGGGATCGTAGTGCCGGTGTTAGCAAAGCTAAGGGTTTGAGGAGCGGGGGATAATGATGTTTCTGCTCCATCTCCACTAACAGGTTTAAAAAAGCCTGTCAGTTTAGGCAATTTGTTTGTCGCCTCTTTGTCGCGATGCTCTTTTTCTTTTCTCTTCCTTCTTTTCTGCGCTCCGCTGTCATATTTTCTGTTGTCCGCCATTGTAAAATAATATTCCCTGACGCTCCTCCCCAATGCGTAAGATGCGTCAAAAGTGGACCAATAACAAGCAAGCATTCAAGATGGACGTTTGCCAGAACAAATTGGAACATTTTTCATCGGTGCTGTCAAAATCATCATAGTCATTGATTAAATTCTGACACTATCCATTCACAAAAACATAAAACATCCTTCGGGGCCCCTGAAATGCCGGGGCCCCGGGCTGCAGCCCCGGTAAGCCCCTGCTAAAATCCGGCTCAGGATGGGACACACATCAGAGGCAATGAGGGGTTCAGTGTAGAGTTGCATTCGGGTCCAAAAATTCTGACCTGACCTGGCCCCAGCCCATAGCCATCATTTCTGAACCCCACCTAACCTGACGAATTAACAGTAATTACAGGTCCGAACCTGAACACCCTCCCACCCCTTGACATTTTTAATTAAGCTTTGTCTGCTTATACAGTTATTAATAGCCAGCGGACGTGCGCGGCTGAGGGGGCAGAAGATCAAAACCGAGGGGGTATTTGTCCTTTCATGGCCGTCATAGCATATTAAATCCCTGCTTCTGCCTGCATTCTGCATTATCCAGACACGGACCCTGCTCTGACATGTCAGATATTTTGTGATCTCACCTATTTGGGTCATTGGCCGCTCATGTCCGCTGAGTGCAGCGGCTGAATTAAAGTCCATTTGGGCTGATGGATCTCTGGCAGTAGTCCGTCTGAAGCTTAACTGAACTTTTTACCTCTTTCAAGGCCGGTCAGCACACGGTCAAATGGCCGCATGCAGCTGGTGAATGTATGGCAAGCCATTGTGCCATATAACTGGATCATCAGCAGCACGCGTTCACTGACGCAATCAAAAGCCTGACACCAACCCGGCCTGCACATTAAGCACATTATTATGGCCTGGCCCTAATTTGGGTTGGGCGGGGCCGGGCTCCGGGTTCGGGTTAGAAATGACAGCTCTAGTTCAGTGTCTTGCCCAGGGACACTTCAGCATGTGACTGCTGGTGGAATTGATCCCCCAACTCTCCAATTTGAGGACGACTGCTCTAAGCACTCAGCCACAGTCGCACCAAAGATATCTTGAGTTTGATCTTTTATAATTAAAGTGCTTGACCTTTTTCTTTACCAAGCAGAGTTCTTTGTTTCTATTAGAAACCAACCTGTTTTGCCACAGTACTCTCAATACAATGTAGTATAGTCCCTCCCACCTTGTGCATGTGCATATTTGTCTTTTTTCAAATTTGTTTATTCCGTTTCTTTTTGTTAGTTGATTATTATTATTATTTTTTGTATAATTAGGAAATGCTACTGGATGCATCAAATTTCCCCTCTGGAATTGATAAAATATCTCCATCCATCCATCCATCCATCCATCCATCCATCCATCCATACCTCCATACATTCATACATACATATGTAACAGTTATGGGCTAGGCAGCTAACTGTGGCGACAAAAGCAGCATCAGAAGATTGTCCTTTTAAGGAGCCTGAGGTGTGAATGAAAACAGGAGGCAGTGTTCTTAGTTTTGGTGTATATATATTGAGTGATTTGAATAAAAACAAACAATAACAACAGTATGATGAGACAAGATCATCGACTCAGAATAAATTAATTCCAAAATCATAAAGTCCATTGTCCTTTTTCCTAGCTCGCCATCTTCAGATCCGGATGAGGATCTGATCCAACAAGAGGGGGGGGAAAAAAAACCTGACCTAAAAGGTCAGAAGAACCCATTAAGCATTTTATCAAAAACAATCATGTACAAACATACAAATGAAATAATTAAATTCAGGCATTGGCTTATGAATAGATTCCTAATAATTTGACATGATCAAACATCTCAATAATCAGGTTAAATTAACCATAATTTAAATAAAGTAAAACAAAAAAAGAGCATAAATCATATTTGAAGCTATTCAATTTAAGGTTGTCAATTTAAAGTTAAAGTCAAGGTTAAAGTCAAGGTTAAAGTCAAAGTTAAAGTCAAAGTTAAAGTCAA